AAGCTCTCATTTTTTCACTTGATTATTACTTATTTAAGTAGTAAATATTTAAGTAAACCAAATACACACACACACACACACACACACACACACACAATAATCTATCTTTGCTGCATATTTATTTACAATTCTTAATTTTACCTCAGAAGAATTTTAATTCACTCTCTTTTCTTAATTCCATGCTCCACAACTTTTATCTTATAGTACTTTTCGATAAATGTAATAATTTTAGTATTGTTTTAAAATTTTTGATGAAAATTTTAAAATTTTCTTTTTTTGCGATTTTCTTCAAAACGAAGCAAAAACGAGCAAATCTCTAAAGGACTTTTTTTCTTAGTTTATCGATTCCCCACACGTTCCTGAAGTTTTGACATTTAATTTCGGGACACCCTGTATAATTTGAAACACTAAATCTCTTTCCTAAAATTAGGTATGGCATGCATTCGTTAAATGCTGTGTAAAATTATCGATAGCGTTAAAATGAATTCAATTATGGGAATCTTCTCGATCAAAAACTGTAAAAGGGACACAAATGATACATTTCATCGCTCCGATTCCAAACAATCCAAGTGTGGTTACAACGAAGTTTGTATCTAATTCAGAAACTTACTCTATCGTTCAACTCTACAAGCCATCACAATGTGTCGAAGTACTTTGCGCGGTGATTTTAGAATGAACTTGTATGCCGTAGCGACGGCAATGGCGATGGTTGGCGCGCGCAGCCGAGGCATGTACGCAAATTATATGCAGACCAGTTGCGAGGGGAGAATGAATGTCTAGCAGTGTGCACGTGACCTGAGACTAGCCAATAGGCCGCGGCCCATTCAGCAGCATCTCACTGCTAGTGCTGTATCGAGTAGTGTAGCATATTGGTATTCGTTACTTACTATTATTGTTTTGTATGTATGTAATAACTCTTTTACTATTTCTTTCTCTTTTTAAAAAGTCATCATATGTTTTTTATCCCGAAGCAATTTTTTTTTAATAGAGATTTTTTTAAATGAAGATAGATTTTTATCTTTCTTATTCCGTTCACGCACGCGTATATACGAATCTTATTGCTGAGCAGTTTCAGATTCATTTCAAATCAATTACTTAATCAGATGAAAAAAGGCGAAAATATTATATCTACAAAAATTAATCAATTATAATTTTTGACATTTAACGGACTACATAAGCGCGAAGCAAAATATAAGTAAAAAAAGTAATTTTATTGGTCTTTTAATTTTAATTATCAAAATCATTCAACTATATAATCTGTATTAATTATTACTTATCAAGTTGATTGTTTATTTGCGTGTAACGATCGCCTCTACTTATTGTTAGCTATGCAATAGTAAGCTACTATACTATCTGTACACGTGCAAGTGTACATGTGCCAATTCATCCCGAACATTTATGTATAGTGTATAAAAGGCTATTGTTACGTCAGATATTTATTTCGTTTAGCTGCTCGATCTTAAAGCATGTGATTCGCGATACTTGATAGAGAATGAAAATATACATATATCCATTTATTTCTTCGACAAGTGTTTAGAAAAAGATTCTTGATATTCTACACACACAATTAAATTTAAAAAACAAAATTTTTTAGATAATAAAAGACAGCTGTGCGTTTTCTATGCGCATATTTGAACAAATTTCGAAAATGAAAATTTGTCTCGGAATACAATGAAATAAAAAGAAACAGACAATTGATAAAAAGCAAAATTTAGTTTTCCTTTCTTGCAAAGATCTATCAAAAAAAAAATGAGAAAGAGATTCTCGGTATATCTTAAATATAAGCAGAAAATGTTTTTCGCTTATTGTTAGTTAAAAATTTTTGAAATCGGAAAAATAGATATTAGTGTCATCTAAGTAAAAAATTAAAGTTTGTCTAAAACAAGGAGAGAAACAAATAAAAAAGATTGAAAGAATTTAAAATAATTCAAGCTATAAAAATGAAAAATGTAGCAAATAAGATTCGACATTTCAAAAAATGAGGCAAAATGTCAAATGCGCTGATCCTTGTTAAATGTAACGATAATAATAATAAATACGAACTAAATTGAATTTGTTTTATCATTCTTTTGACTATTTGAAACTAACTCGAGACTCTGAAATAACGTATGACTTGGTCTACTTGGATGATTCATAGTTCGTCGCGATTCAACTAGCAGTTAGTTGTCGATGTGAGACTATCAGCTGTGTGTAATCAGCTCGCAAAGAGGGAGGGTGGGAGGGAGGGAGAGAGAGAGAGAGAGAGAGAGAGAGAGAGAGAGGGAGGGAGAAGACAGAAAGACAGATAGATGGATGGACAGAGAGAAAAGATACCAGATTCATAATTTCATAATTAAAAATACATGTATAACGTAACACAAAGTCTGCAAGAATCCATGTTTTCTTTTTATCTATGCTATCATCTATTACAAAGCAATTATTTATGCAATAATATGAATAAGTCAAACAATATCAAATCACGTTATATCTTTTTGAAAAGATTTTATTTCTACTTAATCCAGAGACTTATGTACATAAGACAGAAAGACAGATAGATGGATGGACAGAGAGAAAAGATACCAGATTCATAATCGTCTTGCTAAAAATACATGTATAACGTAACACAAAGTCTGCAAGAATCCATGTTTTCTTTTTATCTATGCTATCATCTATTACAAAGCAATTATTTATGCAATAATATGAATAAGTCAAACAATATCAAATCACGTTATATCTTTTCGAAAAGATTTTATTTCTACTTAATCCAGAGACTTATGTACATATAAATCGAACAAACATTTTTTAATTTATTTTGGAAGAATTTTATGTGTGATAATTTCTCTTTAGTATTATATAAGTAAGACTGTTTTGTTTAAAAAGATATATATAAGATTTGATCATGTACAATATTTACATATTTATATATATTTATATATATCTGGATGCCAAGCACACACTTGATCAAAACTTCACTCTTTATCTATTATAACTCAAAAACTAGTCACGTCTCGATATTTTCATCACGGAAATACCATTTCCGTTTCCAACGAGAAATATCATTGCGTGCATTGACTGCGTTAATTACCAAATATTGTACTTGTAATTTTTTATTAGTATCAATATTAATTGAAGGCTTCAGAGTATAATAGCCTAGTTTTATTCACTTTTTTATTAAAGACTTGAGAAAATTAATCTAGATTTAATGTTTTCGACTTTCAAATTAATATTTTTGAGCTTTTTAAAAAGAATTTTAAAAATTCTTAAGAGGGTGGATTAGAGTATGTAACTGCGTATATTTGTCTCTCGAGGGTTACGTCATTAAACAAAAATAATTAAATTTTTCTTACTCGAACAAGTTAATTTATATTTAATTTTCCATAAACTTTAAAATTAATTTCCCTAGATTTTTAAAAAAGTGAACTAAAGCACCGTGTGTTGCGTGGAAAAATCTCCCAATACCATGTGTAAAAATTAGAAATATGTGTTTTTTTAAATTGGAATATATATAATTCTTGATCTTTCCAACTGTAATATATTAATTTTCTCCATTTTTTTTTTTCGAAAAAGAGTGGCTGTTGCATGAATTTGCCGATTTTTAATTAATTTCTCAATAATTATCACGAAAATCGCAAAATGGTAAAGGACTTTTCTCCTCGGTTTCACCTGCTCTACTTGCACGAGGGGTGATATGGTTATTATCAGGCACCCTGTATATAGATGGGGTGGCGACGCGTTCGGCTTCGTTCCTGAGGCTTAGAAGTCTGTGACGAACTGTGGTGACGATGGACGGACGGACGGACGGATGGCTGGTTGCCGTGTATGCGTAGGTGTGTGCTGCTTCGGGTTAGAGGCTCTCTCGGACGCTCTCATATATGTACGATATAGTATCGATGATCGCGCGTGTCGAACGAGCCATTGCGCCGCCACTACTCGCGTCAGCGTCAGCAGCGTGTGGAATAACGGAGCGTGCGCGAGTGCATTCGTCCGTGTGAGTGCGCCTCGTCGGAGTCTGTGCGTGGAGGCGGATACATGTCAACCAGTGGGAACGAGCGCGGTTCTCTCTGTCACGCCGCATGTATAATACGTCTCTGTATGCGTTTATGTAAATGTGAACGAGCGTGACAGCTTCGGGTTGTCAATAAATGCACACGTCGTCTCGGTCCGTTCGAGTGATTCGGGGTGAAGTGTATTCGTTCCATCCATTGGTCGAAATACGTGCAAAGAACGGATATAGTAGAGAAGAAAGTATTGGTGAGGGTATGTGGCTGTGTTCGGTGGTTACACTCGGTTCATCGCGAGCTGTTCAGTTGAGCAATCGAATCCCGAGTCCGGTACACGCGCGCGAGCGAGCGAACGAGAGAGTGGGGAAGGATTCATCGATAAGGATGTAGAAAGGGATCCGGGAAAGGGGAGGGAGCCATTACGAAAGGATCATTGCAAAGCACATTGACGCGGTGGCCTTACAATGTCGATAATTATGTGCCTTTGGCTTAACCCTTGTTCGCCTCCTCGTGCAGCGACGTCGCCGTCGCCATCGTCATCGTCATCGTCGCTGTCGTCATTGTTATTGTCACGGCCGCGTTGCTCTCCCGGTCGGTAAAGACCCTCCCGGATTGCGTAGCGACCGCGTACTCGGTGACATGATACGCATATCGGTGCACGCGACGTGCTCCAAGAAACGATGATGAGATTCCACGTTCCCCGGCCACCGAGTCTAAGAGCGAAGCCAAGTGTAAAGTTGGGAAATAAACAAGCGCGTGTATCTGTACGCGAAAATTTACGCGAATGCAAGAGTGAACTCGGACAGGCTACTGTGCACCACTGATGCCAGAATTGAGACGCGAGCAACACGACTCCGTACTGGTGGGGATACACACACAAGCGTAAACCGTGTACATGTAATGCGCAGAGCGCTCTGCGCATTACATGTACACGGTTTACGCTTGTGTGTGTATCCCCACCAGTACGGAGTCGTGTTGCTCGCGTCTCAATTCTGGCATCATTGCTGTGCACTACTACGTCGGTCTGTGTATGCGCGCACGCGCGCGGATGCATTTGTGCATGCGTGCGTGCACGTGCGTGCGCACCGCCTCCTCCCGGTCGCTCGGCCTTGTGTGTGCTACTGCGTGTGTGTTTGGTGATTCTCTCTCTCTCTCACACACACACACGCACACACACAAAATCCCGGCACGGCGGGGCCCACGCTGGGTAGGAAGCGAGCGCGTGTGAAGCAGTTGGTCGCATGTTACGAGCGATCCCTACCTGCCCTAGGAGTTTTACTATATCGTCTCTCGTCTATTTATACGACGACCATACGCGACTCTCTTCCCTCCTTTCTTCCCGCACTCCTCTTGCGTTTTTCTTCCTCCGTCGTTCCTCTCTCTCTCTTTCTTCCTCCTCCTCTTCCTCTCTTTGGCATGCATTAATTCCTTTCCCCACTCCTTCGTCCCTCTGGTATATCGGTTCCTTTCTTTTTCCCCCAACTCTTATGCTCACTTACCTCCCACCTCGGATATACACACGCACACTTTTGCTTTCTCCTACATCTTCTCCTTCCCTTTCCCGCTTCCCCGCCTTTCCCCTCCTCGCGAGAGCACATCTTTCTCTCCTCCACCTCCACCTCCACCTCCACTTTCCGTCTCTTTGCCCCCGTAACGAGTTACATCCACAAGTTGGTCGAGTCCGAGCAGAGTCGTGTCTCGGCGATTCTATTCCCTCTCTCTCTCTCTCTCTCTCTTACTTTTTGTCTCACGGGGCTTTTGTCTCTCTTCACCGTTGTACTCTTATGTACACGCGGAATGCGCCGCCAGGAATTCTCTCCCACAATGGATTTATCGTGTTAGTGAGAGCAGCTTGAATGTGTGCGTTTCCCGGCGGTCTCCCGAGAGAAAGGGAGAAGGTACGGACGGACGAACGGAGGAGCGAGCGAACAATAGTTGGAAGGAGCGTGTATACGCGCGGGACTTGACTCCGAGAGCGAGAGCGCCCAGCGACCAGCGACCATCGCAAAGTCGAGCCGAGTCGAGTCGAGTCAAGATGGAGCTGCTAAACGCGTCGAGACCGCACGGATCCGACACTACGTTTCTTCTTTAACGCCAACATTTGCTTCGTTCTCGCCGCGTAAAATCGCCTGTGTTCTCACCGGAATATTATAATTTCTAACCTCGAAAAAAGGACGTGCGGGGACGTTTATGCGCTGTCAATTCAGACGATTCTGTCTTATCGTCTGAATACAATTCTGTCTTCGGGCTATCTTTACGCCGAATCCCCCGCAGTTTCATCATCAAAGTGCCATTGTGTTTCGTTTGTTTCTCCATGGAACGATCGTGATATCGGTTTTAAAAGTGTTTTCTCTCTCTCTCTCTCGCTCTTTTATTTATATCGCAAGTGTCGCGCGTGATTTTCATGTTCGTAGTTTGGTACCGGACCAGTTTGCATTTTTGTCAAAATTGCATTTGCGGCAATGTATCGATTTCATTTTGATGCAGGGTTCGATGTATTATTGGTATCGCGATGATATCGTAAATAATCGCTCTTGTATATAACGTGCGCGTAGCGTTACTCTATTTCTCTCTCTCTCTTTTTTTTCTTTTCCTTTCTTCGTAACGAGATTACGCCGGTTCTCCATAGTGCATCTTCGCAGACTGGTACACAGCAGTGTGATGGTTCATTCGAGTGCGTCGGCGATTACACTCTCTTTCTCGCTCTCACGTTGTGGGTGTATATGTGTGTATGTGCACAGTAATGCCTTTGCGCGGTGCGATTGATCACGCTGCGGCGAGACCGTCGTCATCGTCTAAATGGAAAGTGCACTCGTGGTGTACGGGATGCAATTGAGCGATGAAATGGTGGTGCTCTTCTCCACGCTGCACGCCACGCCAGCTGTGGGCGGATTTACCGATCTCGGAATTGTCAGCTCGCTCTGTCATTTTCGACGTTGCCCCAGACGATGAGTAAGTCTCTTTGACGGACATTTTATCCTGCCGAAGCTTCAAGTTGTACACATGTCTATTTTAAATTTACGATCAAAACTGTATCGATATAATGATGCGTTGACAATGCATAATTTTATATACAGGGTGTCCCAGAATTAGACCGACAAACTTTAGGTGGTTCTAAAGGATACCAAAACAAGCTAATTTTGTCTATAAACCCGTGTCGGCAAATGAGCCGTTTCGACACTAGAGAATCAAAGACTAACAAGTGCAAAAATCTATGAAAAAAAATATTTTTTCAAAATTTTATTAATATGGTTAAATAGAGGCGTTTTTACCATAAAACCTTTGTATAAAACATTTTTTGATATCTCGAATAAAATTGGCTTATTTTAGTGTTCTTTATAGCCACCTGAAGTTTGTTGGTCTATTTCTGGGACACCCTGTATATTACAGAGTAAATTCTCTTTGACAGAGCTTGATATATGTATTTATATTAAAACAAAATATTTCTCTATTACACTTTGTAATAGTACAAAGTATTAAAGGTACATTATTGCGCAATTCAAGTTATAATCGTACAACTTAATAAATTATTTTTGTACAGATACTAATTGTGCAGGGTGCGTACAAAGATAAAGATTAACTGACGTTTGAAACGGATAATTAATCGTTTTTATTCACCATTTTTCCAACAAATAATTTCGATCGAATGGAAATTGAAAAATGCTTTTTGCGAAAATATCATCATTATATATGCGCGTTCTCGTTCAAGTCGTGCCACTTCGATAGCCGAATCCGCAGATATATTTTCGTCCGACGAAAAGTTCAAAGTTGAATCACTTGCGATCGACGATAAGATTATATGACACCGCGCGTGTGTGCATATCTGTAGCTCATCTCTTCCGTAACCCCATTCTCCTCTAGTTCTTCTTCTTTTTCTTCTTCTTCTTCTTCTTCTTCTTCTTTTCAACTCTCTGGCGCCAACTAGCGCGAGATCCGATACATATTGATTCATTAGGTTCATTGATCTGTTTGAATTGTAATCGTCAAACATAGTTTCAACTTTGACCGGAGGCTTATTTATTATATAAAAATAAGTTAATTGTAATAAAAAGTTTAAATAGAGAGAGTTTGTATGGAAGGGGAATATATAAATATTGGCGATAAAATTGAAATTTTGTGAATGAATAAAAGTATTTAAAGCAAATAAGCCAAAATGACCAAGTCGGGAGTGATAGATAAGTTGTGTAGAATAAGGAAATATAATGTGAATATCAACTTGGTATATTTGAGGCATTTAAACATGTTCAAGAGACAAAGCAAAGTTGAAAGAATTCCGATTATTACTTATGCTCCCAATTCATTCATTTATTCTGTAATACATAACTCTGTCATATGTATTATAATGAGAGAGAATATATAATTTTAAATTTTAATATTAGTAGATATATATTTTTGTTTGAATAAAATACACATGTACATGTTGTGAAGGCAGATGGTGAGAATTTGATATCTATCTATAAATTTAGTCGCGCGAGAAAGGAGAGATTTACCAAGATTCTGTCACGAAATGAAGTAGACGTTTATCATCGTTACGTATTATCGATACGGATTTATGACCAAACTTGCTATATCTGCTCCGATTTTTAAACAGTAAACCGATGTTGTGTAATCCGAGCGATTCAATCGCAATCTACGATCTAGAGCTGCGAGAGTGTTAACATTAAAATATAGATAGTGTGAGAAGCGTGCCGCTTTTTGATAACGTAATCTTATAATATAGAATCTTTTATAGAATTTAATTTTTAATTAGCATATAATTCTCTTATGTGTTTTAGTTTCGAATTTAACGACAACTAATTCGTTAAATTTAATTTTTATATTGACGAAAAATTTATGCTTTGTGATTTATAAGGCAAAAAGATATAGCGCACTTTTTTACTCCCGACTGCTGCCAACCGCAGGTTGGCAAAAAACGGAGGGAGTATGCGTTTCACCGAGCTCGGATCGGTTATGGTTTTAGTTCTCAATAACTACTACATAGTTTGATATCATCTTTTGCTCATAAGTTTCTTATTAACCAAGGAAGGTTTAAAGCGTATAATTATCGTAATTTATGTTGTTAATAAAAAGTGAAAAAACAATATGGTCTCGTCTACGCGTCCTCTCATTGGCTGCCGAGTGCATCTAAGAAGCAAAATGATTCACCAATAAGATTCGTTCTGAGCATCTGCATAGGGAACTGTAGTAACTTAGTGAGGACATCTCGAAGTGATAATGGTGGGAATAAACATTACACATAACCTCAACCTGTCATATATCAAAGTGTCAATAATTAGTATTGTGAGAGAGAAATCAACCTGTCTATTAAAGTGTCAATAATTAGTATTGTGAGAGAGAAGGCTTCTCTATGGTATTATTTATTAGTGTTTCACTTTTTATATTATTAGTGTTTCACTTTTTATGGCTTTGCATTTTTAATACCTTTTATCATTCCAAATGTTTTGGATTAGCGAGCGAACAAGCGAAAAATGGAACAACGGGCAGGTAAATTGATTCCGAAAATGATTTTACAGGCGCGGATTTGCGCTACGACATCGCACGCTTTATATTGATTGCGTTATCGTACGCTCATATGTCTAAAATATCTCTCTTTTCTTCGTACATACTTTGACACATTGTTTATGTTGGACTGCAATATAACAATCTCCGTGATCCCTTTTTTTTTTTCTCTCTTTACCGCGGTCTACGCATGTCTATGATCGTATTTTACGAAGATTTACACATGTATATGATAATCGTTATCGTATATACTAAGCGTTATCAACGACTGGTAAATGTATAACGAGCCTGTTCTTTCTTCCGGGGGGAGAGGATTTATAGATCTTCTGAATATCTCTTTGATTGATTATTCGATTAGCTCTGAAATTATCAACGTACTTGTTTAAGTACGAGCGAAATTAATCGGGAAGGTGCAAGATTTGTGGCTGGAATAGCATTCATTGATGTTGTATTACGGTAGCACATACATTCGCTATGTTGGTTAATGCTCATGATCAGTTTGTCATCGCGGTCTTTGTTTTGAACAAAAGCAATTTAATCTTCTTCGAAATATATAATTCTTCTCGAATCTTTCTTTTCCTTTTTTTTTGATCAGTATGACTATCGCGCAACTCGTGCTTATTAAAATTATAAAATTTAACGTATGTGTTGCCTATATACATACAATATCTCAATAAGATAATGGAATATCAAAACGTTATATATATTTATTTATCTTATATAATTGTATAGGATGTTCAATAGTATCGTGAAAAAAAAACGATTAAATGTCATAAACGTTTCGGCAAATGTAACAAAACGGATCCTGCTGCATTTTTTATCATACTTATTCAGCATAAAATTTGCGCTTCGCAATTAAATAATCGTCGAATTCAAAGTCAAAGAAATCGCCAGAGGAATCATTTTTATTTCATTTAAATTTATTCGAAATTTTTAATCTATAATTTTCTTTTGTGCATGAACATTTCTAAAATAAAGATTTCTTTCCTTTCATTTATTTATTTTTTATTACAGAAGAATTACCTCTCGTGCGACATGGCTTTCTTTTCTTTATTCCCTAGACTTGTAAACTTTCATGATTTAGCTTTGCAATTTTCGATGATATTGTAATAAATATCACGTGTGTATATGTATGTGACATTTAAGAGGAGAAACTAGTGTAACGGCTAAAAAAAAACTATTTTCAAGAATTTTTTTTCAGGTAAATAATTGTTTTTTTTTTTTTTTTTTTAAATCACGTTATTAACATCACAAAATACATAATTTGAACTACCTTTTGTGAAATTTTCGTTAAAAAATATTAATATATTTATAGCTACAATAGTTAATAGTCGTCTTAAAAAAAAAAAACGTATGGAATTTTCGAATAATTTGTTTTTTTGTAATGTTAAAAAACAGAGATCGATTTCTCACCGATTTTGGAACTTTTTTCTTCAAAAATTCGCTATTTTGTAACAATTTTTTTTTTTTTTAAAAAATATTAATATTTATAGCTATAATAGCCAATATCGTGAATCACCTTAAAAAAAAACGGGTGCGTGCATAACGGGGCAACGAAAGCTCTGAAAAAAAAACAAGTATTTTCTTAAAATATGAGACAATAGCTTCAGTTGCACGTAGGAAATTTTCGATTGAATAATTTGTTTTTTTGTAATGTTAAAAAACAGAGATCGATTTCTCACCGATTTTGGAACTTTTTTCTTCAAAAATTCGCTATTTTGTAACAATTTTTTTTTTTTATTTCCATACGTGCAGCTGAAGCTATTGTCTTATATCTTAAGAAAATATTTGTTTTTTATTGTTTCAGATTCGGTTTCAGAGTTTCCGTTGGCCCACTACACGTGCGTCTGTTTCTTTTTAAGGCGGCTATTGGCTATTGTAGTTATAAATATTAACATTTTTTAACGAAAATTTCACAAAAAATGTTTTAAATTATGTACTTTGTAATGTTAATAAAGTGATTTGAAAAAAAAACAACAATTATTTACCAGAAAAAAAAAATCCTTAAAAATAACCTTTTTTAGTCGTTACACCGGTTTCCCCTTTTAAAACGAAAAAAATCAGAGTTTTTTAAAAATGGGGTAAGAAACTAAGTAAAAAACGGTCTTTTTGGATAAAAAACTGTTTTTTTGATAATTTTAAAGATAGTGCCAGTTTTCTTCGAACAAAAAATGGTATAGGAATTAAATTAATTTTGTTTACTAAGTCAGTAATCAATTTCAATGGGTGCAGTTGCGCTGATTACTACTTTGCATTTGTTTCATCAGTTGAGTTCGACTATTTTAAAACAGGTTAATTGTGATTTTTATAATTCAATGGTATTTTTTGATGTTCTTTATTTTTAAAGTTTCATAAAAGTTAGAAGAAAACTCTCTCAAGCATAGTTAAACTGTTGTTATTTTTGTTATTTTATGGACCAGAAGTAAGAATAACACAAGACCATGGAATCTGAC